TCCTGGGATTTTAGAGGTTCTGCGTGCAGAAATTTTTTGTGCCATAGAGTGATTACAAACCTCAGGCTAACATAAAAAAATTCAGAGTTAAGGCTATGACCCAGGAAGAGAGAGGATTTGCAAATGCAGATAGAGGATAGCAGTATAAGGTATTAAAGAGGGCTTAAGAGAGGTTATCACTAGAGCCCCTTATTGTACTGTAAAGTTTTTAAAAGTAAAGACACTTTTTCAGAGAAAGAAATTCGATATTATCAGCATTGATTCAAACCTGGAACATATTTGGAGTTGGTACTTTTGGAAAAAGAGATTAGACTCCACAGCTAATATTTCATAAAGTCAGTCCATGCAAGGAGATCCAAGGAATTGGGAAATGGATCCATGCCAGTCCTGTGAGAGCCAGCTAATACTTATCCCTCTCTTGAGCCCAACAGCTGAGGTTAGAGAATACATACCTACTGGCAGTAAAGGGGACCATGGCTAGAGATGGGGTTGTATCACCAATCTTTATCTGCCGATGCCTTTAGATGGAGATAGCTATTTGTCCCCACCTAAGTATTCAAGATCCACTAGAACTTTATCCAAGCTCAATGGAAGAATTTCCTACACACAGTCAGCAGCTCCTGAAGGGTGAGGGGTATGGTGAAGTAAAGTACCTGTATTGGGAAGAGTCTGTGCCTTCTCAGAGGCCAAATAATGATATAAGATGAAATAGTCAATCAGTAGCAAGGTTTTCTAGCCAAACTTTGAGGGATAGGGCAGATGTTAATAGGGACATAATACAGGATAATCAAGCTCCCACCTTCTTGGAAAAAGGGAGAATAGGACCTTAATCATGAGTACATGTCTTTTGCAGGAACACAAATGTTTACTATGGCGGCATGATATGTTTCAACTATGTTCCAATTTCAGATCCCTTATCAATAAGTTTATCTTTCTGTTTCCTATACCCTGTCCAACTGCCATTAAGAGTTAATCATAAAGCTGACATTGGGAAGAAGGAGATTAATTCCATTGCAAAAGCAGGAAACTAACTATAGTAAGAGGAGTCTTAGATAAAGAAAAGAGGGTATTAAGAGAATATTGCTTCTTGCAGTCTGAGGCAATTTTGAGAAAAAGAAGACAAAAAAGAAAAGTGAGGCAGGTGATTGGTTACACCTGATTATCTTAGAGAAGTACAGGCAGAGAAAGGAAATCTGAAAGCCTAAACATATGACCTCAAGAGCCTGAACATCTGCCTAAAGGTGCTGCTAAATTATTACCCTGGACTGCTTATTGGGTTATTCTAAAATTTATACACATCCCATTTCTGAGATGCTATTGGTCTGTGAGGAAGAACAAATAAGTTGTAGCTTAAAAAAACACCATAATTTCTTTGAGCATCTGAGGATAATGGAATGGAGTAATTTTTCAATCCTGCTATATTATAAATTAAATTAATAAGGAAATAGTGTCCAAAAGGCCAATTAACAAGAAAACTCTTTTATTGATAGAAAAGCAAAACAAATTTTCCATGAATTCTAATATCTGTTTTATTCTATCTGTTGGATATTCTCAAGTTCAGTTTGTCTGTTGTTGTCGTTGTCATTGTTGTCACTGTTGTTGCTGTTGTTGCTGTTCATCTCTCTATAGAAACAACCCAATATAATCACAAGTGTTGCGGAAATATCCCTACCTCGATTGGGTAGGACCACCTTGATAAGTTATTGTCTCCATTTAACGTTAATTAAATTCTTATTCCTAGCTAAGCATTCCTACATGGCACCAATTATATTATTAGGTTTGTGACAGTAACAAGTATTAATGTCAAGCCACATAAGCTGTTTCTTAAATGTCACCAACTAAATAAAAACCAAATCAGAATCAGATTTACTTTCAGTCCAATGATTAAATACTCTTCTATAGATAGGGCAATCTATTCTAATGTGAACTGAAACATCTGTGAGCTACAATCACTAGTTCCAAAAATGAATGACCCAAATAAGTGGCTTTTCAGATTCAGACTCAAAGTCCAGATTCACATGGGAATGGGCCTGAGGAGCCTGGTCAGATTAGATTAAAGTTTCTGGTTCTAATTTAACCTATAACTTTCACATAATATAGCTAGCAATTGCTCAACTGTCACCCACAAAAAAGCATTCAAAGCATATGTCTACACACTAGAAAAAATAAAACTTTGACCATTATCTAATTAATTCAATTGATGCAGATAGAAATGGTGGAAAAGTCAAATGCCAAAGAAGTTTTTTTTGAAGCAAATTCATCCATATTTTCAAAAACTACTTATCAAACTAAAGAGATAATGGTCATATTTTCACTTTACCTTTAGCTATGCAGATATAAGGTGTATCTCTACACAACATACAGGTTGAAAATGAAAAATCGAACCACGATCTAGGTTTCCGGTCTAGATGGCCCTAAACCTCTTCTGGATATTTTTGTTTTCCATCTAGATATTTAGACCATATTGAAATGGTCATAACTTTATTATCATTGCTACATTTGAGTCACTAACCTAGGAAAGGAAGCTTATCTAATTACCAATTTTCAGAGCTAACTAAGACTCTCCCCTTTCATTAAATAAAGAGAAAGTCACTCAGATTTGACCCCAGAGAACTAAGTGCATGCATATACCTGACTTCTTAGTATCCTCTCTGGATAAGAGGATGGAACAGCTATTCAGTTTCCATCTCATTCTTGTTATGACAGAAAAGAGAATACAAAAAGTCCATTGTAAATTTGTACAAAATGTATGCATATATAAATACATATCTATGGGTGTATATAAAGTCTAAAGATTATATCCTTCTACATCTTCAAGATTCAGAGTCCCATACATTTGACATAATAGTATTTTCTCTCCAATTTTCTCATTTTTAAAAACAATAAGAATCAAGCATGCCACCTTATTATAATACTGAATAGCAAGTGCAGAAGTTGAACTGTAGCTATAGGGGTTTGAAGCAATTAGTTTGACGGGACATCAGTGAATAAAATCCTTAAAATAAATTTAGCTATTTCCAGATTGCCTTTTGTTTCATATAAACGAAAACCAAAATGCCCTGTTGGTAGCATCCCAAACTCCTGAGAGTGCCAATTGAGCTCTATAAGAAGCAGTGCTTTAAACAGGGTCTGTACAAACTGCTTAGATATGTGCTTATTGTAATAATTTGGTGTGGGGACCGGCTTACTAGAATTTCATGTAATTCTTTTTCTATCTCATAGAAAATCTCAAGTGACACCACCAGAGCCTAGGGTTCTGAATATATTAAACTCAGTATTAAATGTGACTCACAAACTGCATCATCTTTACATAGAGCAGTATTAAAAATATTAAACCATACTCAATTAATGGAGAAAGGCATACACATTCAAAGGTGCACAATAAAAGCATATTACAGATGTGTGTCCATGTTTAGAGGTATCAAGATCTTTTTTTATAATAGACATAATACTTTTATTTCTTTTGCTCCCTCTATTCTTTTGGGGAAAAATAATATAGGACGATTGCATCAATTACCCCCAGGGTGTACAGGCTGCTCCTTGGAAGGGGATTATTATTGCATGCCTTGAATGCACTATGATTCATAAGGCAAGAACGTATGAGTAGCTTCAGCACCAAGAAAATGGAATCATCATCAAGCACTGCTCTCAACACATCTTATTGCTTTAATAAAATGGGAAATTATTTACTGTAAGAGTGCACCAAATAAAGGGGGAAAGTAATATCTATGCACTTAGTGGAGCTCACTGGAAATGAGGAAGCTCCCTTCTGGGTCCCTGATTCTATTCAAATTTCAAGTCCAAAAATCATTCTGTAATAAGATATTAAAGAGCTACCGCTAGATGAGGGTAAGCTACAAAAATTAATGGACTTTCTTCTTCACAGTGCCTTAGTCATTTCTGATGTACAATGTAGAGCTTTGATGCACTAAAGGATTCCCTAGTGGCCTGAGGGAGTAAATGCACTCTTTAACTTATTACTAGGATGTGACTAAGGCACTGGAGAGAATCTGGTTCATTGTTTAACATGTTGTACCCAAAGTTTATACCTGGTCTTCCTAATGTTACAACATGGCATGTTTCAGTGATGATCCTCTGTGCTTCAGCAAAGGATTTGGGTGAATATCTAATGGGTGATTAAAAATAAGTTTATTAAATTATTTTTATAAAAGATGCAGACTGAGCTTGGGCAATTTACTAGATGACCGAAAACATCAGAGGTACTGTTTTCTTTAGATAAGAGCACATATGCCCGGAACCAAGACACAAAACCTATAAAAACTAGTTAATTGGGAGAGGGATGCTCGTACAGGCCCTGTTGCCTTACACCCTGCAGGATAGTAAGGACTCTTTTGGTTGAGCTTTGTGTAGATCATTCTCAGTAATACATTTCCTAAACATTTGAATAGCTGTCAAAGAGTTGGTTTCTGAAATTAGATACCACTGCATATAATTAAGACTGTAATATGCTTCTGGCCCCTTCTTTCATCCATCCAGAGGAAACAAAGTGGTAAATAGCCATAGGCAAACTCCATTTCTCACATAGGTAGCCTTGCTGGCATTAGGAGTGAGAACAAAATATTTCTCTTCTCCTCTCACTTTCTTATTTTCTCAGTATTTTTCATATGTTCAGTGAAGTTAGCTAAGCCAGACTCAAAAAGAAAAAGAGAGTCCTTTCTTCGCTGCAGGCACAGATTTCTAACTAAACAAGCTGAAAACATTTTTATCTTATAAGTAATTACTTGATTTAACTTCTCTTAAAATTTGCATGTCCTGTCATCCAAATTGCCCAACATCCCCACCAGTCTCATCCCCAAACACATACAGTACAAGCAAGCACACACACCACTGCCTCCAGGTGGTAACTGCATGCAGGGAGAACTACAGGCACTGTTTAAATATTAACCATGTTTTAATAGATGGCATTCCTGCACATCCATTATTCGTTTGTTTCTGTTGTGGTGGTTGTTTCTGTTATTTGCAAAAGAAAAAAGAAAACATGTGCATCATCTTTTTATAACAGTCTACTACAGAGTAAGGTACAAAAGAACACTTCTGGAAACAGGAGAAGCCAGGTCTGCACCACTGAATTTCTCTTCCAGTGGTAACCATTATATCAACAGCTGGAAATTAAGAACAAGAATACACAGTTTGGAGGATGTAGTACAGAACTATAGTTTTCTTCTGTATTTGGTACCAATATAATAAATATGTAACAAAGGTGCACTTGTTCTAAAAATAAAACGGAAACATTCTAGTTGGTTAGATACTGCAATTTCAGTACTGCACATCACCTAATACTTTTTTTTTTTACAAAATGGTAACGTATGCAATGTTTAAGAAGAAGAAAACCAATAGTACACGCTAGCCCAATTGTATAAAAAGAAGAAAGAAACCAACCAAAAGCCAGAATAGTCACTTTCCAAAACAGCCCCTCCTCCGCCTGCACAACCAGAGGAAGTAACCAGTACAGGGAGGCGATTTCAGCACCAGACTTGGCTGGACAGCTCACGGATTCTCTGTACATCCTGAAAATGTCACAAGTCCAAAGTGCACAAGTAGGGGCGGGGCAGGGAGTGAAAGCGTTAGATTTGTTGTTTTTTTTAAACTCATTTAAAGATTTTAACGTATTTATGCTCGGCCAGCGAGGGACATTTTTAAGAAGTAAATGAAGTGCTCTACTCTGGAAAAAGTAACGGTTAACCAAGAAAAGGACGGACTGGAGAGGGGTACCTCTCATAAACGCTTTTCTGGGACTTTCTCTGTGGCCTCTTGGAGTCCTGGTGCTTAATGTAGACGTTTTCTTTATAATATTCTATTGCCTGAGCCCGGCTGAGGGTGGGAATGGGGAGGGGAGAGGAGGGAAGCTAAAGAAAAGTGAAAGCTTAGCGGACAGAGGGGAAGGAAAGAAACTAAACCTTAACTTGACAGCTATGTACATTACCGGGCCCCCTCCTCTCCCTTTGCTCCGGTGGTCAATGCCTTTTATATATTTGGTAGCTTGTTTGGTTTCTCCTCCTTACTGAAGGGAGCACAGGGAGGTGTGGGAAGATGCATCCTTCATTGACAATGAGAAATTATGTGATTTGTCATGCGCTTGGATTGTGTTATTAGTATTATAATAATTACTATAAATATTAATAAAGTATTATCAGCGTTAGTTCTTCTTCCGAGACTTTCCTCGCCCAATATTTACAAATACCGCACAGTGCCTCGGCGGAGGAGAAACAGAGTAAGGGGAGGGCGGAGAAGGAAACAAGGAAGAGTAAAGAGGGGCCAGAGGAAAACGGGAAAGGGAAGAAGGAGGAAAAAAGCAAGGATGGCAAAGATGCTGGAAACGAGGAAGGGGAGGAAGAGAGGGGCTTAGACAATCAGGACAGTACCACCGTTTGCAAAAGGCCCTCGCCAGCTGTGTCCAAACAGGAGGAGGCTGCGTGTGCTCCTTGTGGACTGGAGGCTGGCGGTGGAGGCGGAGGAGCACAGGAACCCTGGCACGGCAGGCCAGGGGACGAAGAGGAGCACGACGACGAGGGGTCGGAGGGGGCGCAAAAGGCAGAGTCCCGGGGCTGCCTCTCCAGCCGGGTTTCTTTTGCGTGGTTTGGGGCCTGCCTGCCTGCCCGGGGCAGCCCCCCGCCACCGCGGCTGCCGCTGCAGTGATCCCGCTCGTATTCCTCCTGAGCCCTCTGCATCTTCCGCTTCTTCATCCTACGCTTGTGGATGTGGAAGGTGGAGAGGGACAGCACGATGAGGCAGAAGATGAGGGTGACCAGGACAATCAGCACCAGCGTGGAGGAGAAGGACTGGAAGAGCTGCTGTCCCACCTGCGTGATGCAGGTGCCGCCGCCGCCGCCTCCTGCAGCCGAGTCGCGGGCATTCGCGGTGCCGCTGCCGCTGGCGTTGGGGGAAGCAAAGGTCCGGTTGAGGAGACACGGCGGCAGCGCCAGCCTCAGCTCCTTTGGCGCCCGGGCACTCATCGGCACTGGGCTGAGAGGGGCCGGGCCCACTCGGCTTCCCCTTTTGGGCACGCTGTTCCCACCAGCCAAAAAGAGGACGGAGCCCACGCCACCCGAAACTACTCCCTGGAGCGGGAGGGGGCGTGCGCGCGAGCCAAGGACTGAGGGAGCAACTGCTGGCAAGCAAGCGGGCCCGGAGCGAGCGGCGCCGGCAGGTCCTCTCTGGTCCCGACTCGAACACGTCTCCGCGCGCCCTTTTCCTCCGCGGAGGCGCCAAGCTGCAAAGAGAACAGCCTTGGTTAGGCTCCCGGCCGCCGCGCAAGGGAGTGCGGCGGTCGGGGAGGATCAGCCACCACCGCAAAGCGGCCCTCTGGGCGCACTGCCTCAGCTGGGCGCTGTCCAGTCTTCTCCTCCGCCGGCGGAATCCAGCCCGCCCGCCCCTGGCCGCGAACCAGAGCCACCAGCTGCCGCTCGCGCCACTCGCCAGGAAGGGGTCTGCGCCGGCACCGCGGAAGTGCAGATTACTCAGCAGATAAGGCAGCCTCCCCGCGCCCTTCACAACTTTCTAATTGCAACAGACACGCAGCCGCCTTGGATCACAGTCCCCACTCCCCAGAGCGCCGACTCTTTCCGGCGCCCTCTCCGTGGACGTCTTCGCCTGGATCCTACCCTCCCCAGCACCCACTCCGGGCCGCCAAGAGGGCTCCGGGTACTCAGTCCTCCCCTCCCTTCCCCCCAGACTCTCCCTCCCCAGACGGCGTCCGAACCCTTAGGTCTCCGGGGGATGCCCCTGGCACCACATCCCATTCTGCCTGTATCCGCGGCTGATGCGTAGGATCGCGCCCCCCATCCTTTATCCAGTCTTCTTCTCTGGCACCTCCGCCCCGAAAAAGCAGCTGAAGCACCTTTCTGAGCTGACACATCCCTGCAAACGCCCCCTTCCTCCTCATCTCCCTGTGTCCCCAACTTAACAGTATCCTGCTTCTTTCTAGAGGAGCTAGAACTGGCATGGGGGTGGGGTGGGTTTCCGCCTGCAAAGTTTGGGGAATAGACCTGCTCTCCGACCTTCCTAGACCCAGCCCAAGGGCCCCAGGGCTTTTCCCCGGGAACAGAGCCGGATAGACCCGCAACGGGCAGCAGAGCCTTTTTGCCGCTCCCAAGAGGCAGCTGCAAACTGTTGCACTGCGGAGTAGCGAGGCAGCGCGCAAGCAAGCCGGAGCCGGGGCCGGGCCGGGGCCGAAGCAGGGGCAGGGGTGGGGCAGAAGCTACCGCCGGGGTGCCTGCGCAGGCCGCGTGAGCTGTCTTCCTCTCTCGCGCCCGGCCACCGAGTCACCCAGCCATCCGAAGCCTTTGCCGCACCGTGTCTCTTACCTGGGGCCGCCGGCTGGCTGCTGGGAGGGAGCCCCCGCCACGCGGCTGCAGTGGCGGCTGCAGAAGGCGCGGAGTGAATGGGCCAGAGACCGAGCCGCGTTGCCGCCGTCGCCGCCGCCTTCGCCACCGCTTCAGGGAGCTGAGCTCGCAGCCTATTGCCAGAGAGGCCGGTGACGTCAGGCAGCCACCGCCAGGGCTCCAAGCCACCCCTCAGGCCCCTACCCACCCTCACACCCCAACACCTTGTCCGGGCATGGTGAGCCTCTGACACACACCTCCCCGTTCCCTGCCCTTCTCCTGCCCAGGGGCTAGGAGGAGCAGCCCCCAGCCCCACCCTGAGAGCAACCCACCTTCCCCACTCTTTTGCCTAGGAAGGGTTGAAGCTTCAGTTCTCCAGCTGTCGGATTCCTCACCCTCAACCTTTTCCCAAATGGTCCCATGATCACATTTTTACACCCTAGAGAGCCACCTTCCCTCGGCGCGCAGATCAGACTTTCTCCCTGGTGGTTGATGAGGGGCCCCCACCCCCAAATCCTGTCTGTGCTGCCCCTGGTTTTGAATATAAACTGCGTGTATTAGAGAGACAACAGGGACATTTCTCAACTCAAGTGTGACAGAACCCAAAACACAAACCTGAATCAATCAAACAATCCAAATTAACCATTTTCCTCCACTGGAGTCTCCAACTTTCACACCACCCGACTCACGATCCTCCTCTCCTCCTTCATGTACTCATCTCCAGGCCCAAGACCCACTCACCATATGAAACACCCCTTCTGTTGTGATAGTGTATGGGCACTCATGAGCACACAAAGCATGCAGAGGCTTACGAGGCAGGAAGACGTAACTACTCAGAGGAGTGCAAAAATGAACTGCCCCGCGAAAATTCTGAGTATTGTGCCTCTCACAAAGTGCCCCTTTAGTGGCCCTAATTCTTATTAATCTGCTTGGTCCATTTGCTGTAGTATTAAGAATAGCCTTTCAGCACAATGGATAGAACTTCCAGAAGGGTTTTCAACAGCCTCCCTAAATCTGGGCAGTCTAGTCAGCTGTTGGTTTAGGAACCTCAGAAAAATACGAATAGTGCATTTGGTCACAGTAGCCAACTTTGAAATGGAGTGTGCTCATTTTTCTATTGGAGACGACAACTAGGAATAGTACCTAAAGTCGTTGTGTGGTCTTTGAGGCACTCGGGTATCTTATTAAAGGTGTATTTTCTTCTTCCCTCCATGTCTTGTTTTCTTCCTATCTTTGAGTCTAGCACAGTGCCTGTACAATACTTACTTGCTAAATTGAATGATGCAAGTGTACATTGCTCCTTTTTCCTGCTATGCATCAGACGTGAGAGCTAACAGGAATGACTGATGCCCACTTATCTGCATGCATTTGCTGTACTTGTAAAGAAAGGGGGTCTGACATGAGGATAAAATTGTTGTCTGTCTGTAATCTGGGGGTGAGGGGGAGTCCTTTCTTCTGAATCAGTGTTCCTTTCCAGTCTTACTTCAAATTCTTTTCCTCTTCTTGCCCATGACTTATATATGGCAGAAGAAATATATCATATCTCCCCAAAATTCTGTTTTCATTTATTTGAATAAAAGTCATCAGCTTTATATTCCTAATTGTCTCAATAAAGGAAAGTATCCCTATATAAGCTAATAGTTCTGTACATGCTGAATAATGCATGATTGCTTCGGAAGATGGATTGATGCCCTTGGCTGTTAGAGTCACACAGTTGCTGATGGCCAATGAGTCCAATGCTAGCATAGCCCTCCTGCCTGGAATGAAGGCACCTGGTGCCTGTAGGAGCCGCCTGCCACATTTGGGCATTCTGACTTTGGTGGGCTCAGGAGATAGAGTGCTAAGCCTTTTTTTGTTTTGTCTTGTTTTGTTTTTGTTTTGTTTTGTTTTGTCTTTCACTGTGACCACTAAGTGAGATTTTACCATTGACATCTAACAGGCAATACTCCATTTTTGCTCACTCTCTTTGCTCCTGAAAAGTTGAGGCTAATCAACATTTTGTAAAGCAAATCCAATTCTGAATACTGCAAAAAAAAGATCTGGCTATTTAAAGAGACCCTTTAACAAAAAAATAAAAATAAAAAAAACTGTCTTGTAAAGCAAAGTATCTTTACATGATTAGAATTAACTCTCAATGGTCTGTTTTCGAGATTTGGAGGAATGAGCTATTGGGTTTTCCCTGTGGGGAACATAACATTACAGTATGTTGTAATGGGATTACATATGTATGTAGGGGGGTTCCTCTTGCTCACCAAGCTTCTAGGACATGTCAAGAGGCTGCCATTGTTATTCTTTTGTTACAAATGATAGCCATCTGTCATATCAGGAGTGCTAAAAGTGTCTGCACCGTTTTACATAACCTATGAAAAGACAAGGTCTTAACCTGGAGAAGTTTTGCAATCTACAGCAGATGAATATGATTCACAAGACAATGGTATTTAACTAAAATTGATTTAGGTAGATTAAAGACATCAATTTTCATGTTATAAGCCCAGTACATTTTTTTCCTTTCTCTGTAGGTTCATAATTTGTTCTTACCCAGAGAACAAATGTGCTAAATACATAGACTTCAATGTCACTGGGTAGTGTGATTCAAACCCAAGGAATAGCAGTGAAGGCAAATATGCGTACCTCTTGGGTATGTAGGAATTGATCCCACTGAGTTGCAGTACGATTTTGGCACTTCTGGCTCAAGGGCAAGGCTTCTTCCAGACAGTGCTATTGCTACCACCATTTTTTGCCACCAAACTTCCCAAGCTGCACTCCCAAGAGTGGAGAATCAAGAAGCTTCTGAGATTCCCATAACCTTTTCTTGTGATGGAAAAGCCTCTTTGGACTCAGACATGTTACAAATATTTAACAGCATATGATCCTTGCTCTCAAGTTTAATGATGGATCTCTGCCTAACTTAGAGCGGAAGTGTCACATGGGCACCTGTACATCAATATAAGAAGCACCAAATCAATAATAATAATAATAATAGCCATTGTCATTATTTGTGAAGCACCTATTATGTACCAGGCTTTACTAAACTCTCTCTGTATTAGCACTAATCCTCGCTACAACACTGAGAGGTTATTTTTGCCAAAATATAACATTATTTATTTATTCTTTCCTTCATTCACTTATTTGTTTAATAAAAATCTTTGAGTACCTGTGAGTTTGTGGTTGAGAAAACTAAAGCTCAGGGTGATTAAAAGACCATGATCAAGTCACCTAATAATAAGTATATTACTACATATATCACTAGGCTGAAACCTAGGTAGACTGGTTCCAAAGTTAGTATTCATTTCATGACTGTAGTTTCTCTCTCCCTCTCTCTCCCTCTCTCTCTCTCTCTCTCTCTCTCTCACACACACACACATCTCTATTTCTATTTTTATTTTATCTCTATCTCTATCTCTTTTGATTGGAGTAAATAAGTATTATAAAACTAGAGAACAGCAGTGATGCTTGGTTGAAGCAGAAGAGGGTGAATGGAATGGAAAGCGGAAGACTCTGTATTTTGGGTTCTCCCTTCCCTCTGGCAACAATCTACAGGACCTTCACAGACTTCCTTGGAGTGAACAGAGGCTAGTTTGGAACCCACTGTGCTGGACCAGGTCATTCTAGATCACAGTGCAACACAATACATGCCAGGCTGCTCTTAGATTTACAGGGACTTTTCCAGAGGATGTGCACCTGATCCTGATATTTTGTCTAATCTTTATCTCCTCTACTCTGGGCCTCTGAATATCTACAATGGTATGCCTATATGTTGTCATGTTCCTGTTAAATCAACTACTGCCCCAGCCAGCAACTAATTAAAAAAACGATGCTCTTAATGAAAGTCTTAACTTTGTTCTAGTTATCAAGTTCATTTCCAATTCAGTCTTCTCATCTATAAAATGGGAATAATAATAATGATAATAATAGTATCTTCTTTGCCATGTTATTTTAAGCACTGAGTATATAGCAAGCATTTAATAAATAGTAGATTATTACATTATGAAGGAAATTACTAAGATTGATATTTTATCCCTGGTAAGAGACACATTATATTGCTTTGGACATCAAAATTCAGGAAATTTTGATAAGTTTTAGTATCCTTTATAGGAAGATGACTAGGAAGGTGCAGGGACTGAAAGCAATGATAGGCAATGAGCAATTGAAGGATTTAGGAATACTAATCTTAGAGACAGAAAGATGTGAGGGATGCATCACAGCATCTTCAAATGTTTGGAACATCATCAATAGAAGATGAATTTATCCTACTCTGGATACTCAAGAGGGAACTGAAATATAGTGGAACAGACATAGGTAAGATGCATATTTCAGTTTGTTATTTCAGTAGTGGAAAGACCTTTGTAACAATGTAACAGGTTATCATCTATACCAGCAGTCTTCAAACTGGAGGAGTCATATCCCTGAAAGTACATTAAAATTTTTCCAGGGAAATATGGATATGTATCCTTTTAAGGGAATTAGTTTCCAAGTTCTCTACCTCTTTGTGTACTTCCCCTAAAATGTATCTATCTGAGGCTAAAACCTGCCGTTTGTCACTGCTCCTTGTATTTCCCCTACTTCACAAAAGAAAAACATATGTCTCACCAGTCTTCAATCTTACCATAGTCCATTACTCAGGGTGTAAAATCCCTTGGGAAATTAAACAAAGGAACATCTTGAGGATGTATAACTCCCAAGAGAGGTGACAGCTGTCACCTAGGGGACAAACTCATTTTAAGGCTCTATGTCATATCTATCTATATAGCAATTTATCCTAGAATTATAATTTAAAAGTGAGATGG